AAATAATTCATCACTAATTATACTGTTAGTAAACTAGATATTATTTAATTAGCAATATAGTTTTGATAATATAGTATAATATTTAGTAGTTACTAACATTAGTAATGTAATATGTTTAGTCTTAGCTACCTATAATAATTGTTTTTCGTAACAATAATACAATATCACTGAATTCAAATTTAATATGTCCATTATTCTGACCTACACAACACATAATGTACAGCAGAGCGGTATCTACTTGTCCATCACCTTATTAAAGTATTATATTTATGTAATTTTTATTTTACATAAATGCTATGTCAAGGAGTATATTATATTATATCACAACACATAAACAGAGTAGGTACCATATATGCATATTTAGTTAGGAACTTCTTAGTTAAAGTACTTACGAATCCGGACTAGGATTTAACGGGCTTCCGTCACCGTAAATTATCGTGCTCAACTTTTGCTCTATTACTCCCATTAAGTCGGTAGAAACAGGTGTATTTTCGACTTCTTCTTCGGAACTGGTGTCATGTTTGACAGTAGGCATTGACAACATTACAGAATACACATTTTTACTCAACAGTTCGTCGACCAATTCTTGGGAAAAACTTTCCAAAAACTCTTTTTCCATAAAAAACAACTAAAACGGAAGGTTGAAATATAATTCAAATATCAATTTCATTTGATATAGATTAGTWTCTAGGTAACTAATATTATGTATAAAAATTATAAAGCCCTACAATGTATTAATAACGTTGATACTTAACAGATTATTCAACATTTTAAACAAAGGTATGGGTAAAAAAATATTTAAAAAAAAAACTTTTTTGGTCAGTTATTCAATCATTAATTATTCATGATGATACAAATTTATTTTTAAACCAGTTAGCTCTATTGTTAATAATACTGAAAACTATTGTTGGTTACCTTCAACTATACTTCTCATCAGTCATGCTCCAATAACAACATTTTGGTATCTCGTACTACACCAATAATTTATGGATTATTTTGACTGTCAGATATTGATAATACATTTTATAAAATCGTGGTATATTTCCAATTTTAACAGTCGATATATGATCAGATTGACACCTTGGTTCTAGTTGCCTATTCAAAATTATTTTTTATTCCGTGACTTACCCTAGGTTGTTTTTCATAGTTTACGGAAGATTTCAAAACACATTTCCTTTTATTTGTATTCAATTAATAAATGTCTACCTAATATTTTAGTGAAATTGATAATATACGTTAATAAAATAATAAAAWAGTTAGGTGGTTAAGTGGTTTGGTGAGGCGTGGTTGTACACACAATCTGCAGAAACGCAGTGAGCGTACGCAATGGCCGCAGTTACTATCTCTCGGATGKATGACCACCCGGGATTTTTAGCAACATAATATCCTTGCCACACATACACAAAAACGTGTTAGGTACAACCTTGCCAACTCAAGAACCAAAAATATACAAAAATAACCCCCGCCGTACCACCCCACCCTCAATGGCCTGTTTCCAGAGGTTAACTCCTAAACAAAAAAAAAAACTCAGACAGCCGAAAACGACGGCAGTCAAGATTATCAACAAGTAGTATCAAATCAACTATGGTATATAATTGGAAAAGTGCAATAATCAGTTGTATATATTATGTAAATTATCTAGGAATATAAATGATTAAGTTCTATCCATTCAGTTGTACTATGATTTATGATAAAAATATTCAGTAGATATTTGTWTTGAAGATTGTCTTAAATATTTTACGGAATTATTAATAATAATAATCTATTATATAAATGGGAAAACGAAAACCTTTGAGGCCTATGTTCTCGGAAATTACTGAACCGATCGTTATGGTTTTTTTTTTTTAAATTGAAGAGCTTATTGTGGAGAAGGTTTATGGCATTTGATCGATTCTCTAACTTAATAAAAGGAGTTATCAATTATTAGAAATAATGGTCTGTTACATAGAATTGGTAACATGRCAAGCATTCTGGGTTTTCGCAATCACTACAATTCGATCCTCCCTGACCACCAAGCGTGTCCGACGGCCGACGGTTAAAAAAAATTTAAAATAAATTTAAAATTTAAAGATTTAAAAAAAATTCTCATCTTTTCAATAAATCTAATGAATGGTTCCGTGAACGTGCAATTTTGGCCCCTAAAAACGACACCACCAACATCATAAACGATAAAGTTTGAAATGTTTGAAGCTGATAAAAAAAACTATATTTCCACACACTTACTAATCAAGATGAAGCTATAGATATACCAACTGAATTTCTTAACTCATTAAATCCATATAAATATGTATATTATATACATATTATAATATAATAATAATACTAATATTTTATTTATTATTATTATTTTTTTTTTTTTTACTGAAATATTTTCGATTATTATATTTATCAGATCTTTCTTTTCCTGCACTCTGCAGTCTAAGATAATATAATTTTTTTGGTTATATTTTATGATTTGTAAACATCATCGAATATTTTGACCAACTATTATCCTGACTAATCATGTTTAAAATATGTTTTCATTTACCTGGTGCAAATTTTCTTCCGTCAATTTCACTTCTTTAGCTTCAATAACGATTAGTTCCTCATAYTTGCTAGCACATGAGTTGGCCACCTCGCACACCCTTTTTTCTATCATCACAGGTTCAGGTGGTTCGTCGAGTTCTTCGACGTCCCCTTCCAATGGTTTTTCAACCATAATGTATTTGACTGTGTGAGGGAAAAACATGACACACGTTTGCATTTGGATGTTAAAAGAAAATTTGTTCAAAGCACGTTCTCTTACTTCCATCATTCTTTTATCTGAAATCATAAAGTACGAATTAAGTTTTAATTTGTTTAAAATGGCAAAMCCCACTTGTACCATTTCACAATAGAAGAAATGTGTATACGAGAATTAATTAAAATATATAATATATCCCTACTACTATTGAAGCCAACCATATTAACTAAGTAGGAATATTAGATTATAATATTATAACTACCCATCTGTTATTATTTTATACACAGATTTAGTCTACTATGATTAGGGCTGGGAATTTAATGCCCTATAAAACCCTAAAAATTCTAAAAAATGCAGGTAAATTGTTTTTATTTTTAATAATTTTAGTATAAATTATAAATAATATTTGATAAAACTAATTTAATTGAAATCAAAGTGATTAAAATAATTTTTCTATAGGCTAAATTTCAAGTTAGATTTTTATTAATCTGAAAAAACAATTATTTACTTGTATTGTAAAATATACTTTACAGCCGTCAATCGCAAACTCGTTATCTAAGTTTTTTTTTACGATATGAGATACGAATAGSTAGGWACCGACTTAATTGTTTGTTTGCAAAAAAAAAAATAATAATTTATATAAAACTCGCGTTAGCGTGTATAATCAAGTTTGAATTTTGAACCCAAAAACCTCAATAATGCCCTAAAACCCCTATAAAGTCTATAAAGCCCTAAAAAATGAAGAAAATGACGTTAAAATCAAAAATT